ATCCTTCCAATCTTCCTTTCATCTGACAACCATCAAATGTTCTCTGTACCCAAGTCTATTTCTGTTCTGCTTATTCATTTATTTTGTTATTTTTTTTAGATCTATCTTGTCTAGTGTAAGTATTGCTACCCCAGCTGTTTTGTTTGTTTGTTTCTTTGCGTTTTCATGAAATATCTTTATTCATCCCTTTACTTTCAGTCTGTGTGTCTTTCAATCTGAGATGAGTCTCTTGTGGACAGAATATTATGAGGGTCTTGTTTTGTTATCTATTCAGCCTATGTTTCCATTTGCTTTTAAAGTAATTGTTGATAGATACGTATTTATTGCCATTTTATTATTTATATTTTTGATATTTTCCCCCTTTTTAAATTTTTAAATCATGTTTATTGCATTACAGTTGTCTCAGTTTTTCCCCCTTTGCCCTCCTCCACCCATCTCACCCTGCCCCCCTCTCCCACAGTTAATTCCCACTCTGTTGTCCATGTCCATGGGTCATTCATACATGTTCTTTGTTTAGTTCCTTCTCCTTCTTTCCACCATTGTCCTCCATTTTCATCCCCTCTGGTCACTTTCAGTCTACTCCATATTTCCTTTCCTGTGGTTTATTTTGTTCATTAGTTTATTTTGGTGAATAGATTCCATTTATGGGTGAGATCACATGGTATTTGTCTTTCACTGCCTGGCTTATTTCACTTAGCATAATATTCTCCAGTTCCATCCATGTTGTTGCAAAAGGTTGGACTTCCTTCTTTCTTTCTTTTTTTAAAATGCATATTGATTTTATTTTTTTAAATGTCAAGATCCATGATAAAATATTAAAATATTTAAATCTATTATAAAGTCTCAGCAATCATGACACCTGCACAGAAATAATCAAGTAGATCAATGAAATAAAATGAGCATTCAAGAAACAAATGTATATATCTTTCTAACAATGTAATATATGATTAAATTGATATTTCAAATCAATGGGAAAAATAAGGCTTATTCAACATATAAGGTGTATGGGTCACTATTACTTGAAATAAAACAAATATAGAGCTCTAGTTCACACATTATAAAACAAATATTCAGGTGAGTTAAAAAATCAATATGTAAAATCTAAGGAGTTTTTGGAGAAAATTCAAAATAATATTTTTCTAACCCAGAAGTAAAATATTCAAACCTACAAGTTAGAAAGTAAAATATTGACAATATGACTATATTAAACATTTAAGACTATATAGTAATATTCATGTTACAAAAGTTAAAGGACAAGTAATAGAACAGGAAAGTATTTGCAACACATCTGTAAAAGGGTTAATAGTTTTTTTTAGGGAAAAAATTCTACGATTAATCAAAAAATGGATAAAGAATACCAAAAAGTCATTTTAAGCTTTTTAAAAAAATAATAGAGATAGTCAAGAAATATACAAAAACAGGTTTCATTTCAACAAATAATAAAGTAACTTAAAATAACATCATTGTCACAATCAGATTAATAAGTATTAAATATATTGGTAATATTAAGTATTGGTGACTGTGAAAGAAACTGGTTATTCGTAGGCTCTTTTTCTTCATCTTTTTAAAGCAGCCTCTATAGCATATTTTGCAATGCTGGTTTGGTGGAGGTGTATTCTTTTAGCCTTCTTTTGTCTGAGAGCTCCTTATTTTGCCTTCCATTTTAACTGAGAACCTTGCTGGGCAGAGCAGTCTTGGTTGCAGGCCTTTGCTTTTCATGACTTGGAATGTTTCTTGCCATTCCCTTCTGGCTTGCAGTGTTTCTGTTGAGAAGTCAGCTGCTAGCCGTATTGGGGCTCCACTAGATGTTACTACCTGTTTCTCCCTTACTTGCTTTAGGATTCTCTGTTTGTCTTTGCTATTTGCCATTTTAATGATGATGTGTCTTGGAGTGGGCCTCATTGAGTTCCTCTTGAATGGGACCCTCTGTGCTTCCTGGACTTGTGTGACTTTTTCTCTCCTCCAATTGGGGAAGTTTTCCATCATTACTTTTTCAAACAAGTTCTCTATCCCTTCATCCTCTTCTTCTCCATCTGATGTCCCTATTATATGGATATTATTACATTTTAGGTTGTCCTGCATTTCCCTCAATGCCTCTCCATTCTTTTAGAATCTTTTTTTCATTTTCTTGCTCTTTCTGGGAGCTTTTTTCTACCTATCCTCCAGCTCACAGATTTGATCCTCTGCTTCACCTAGCCTGCTTTTGATAACTGCTATTGTGTTCTTCAATTCAGAAATTGTATTCTTCATTTCTTCTTGTCTCTTTTTGATAGTTTCTATGTCCTTTTTCATGCTGATATAGTTTGCAATAAGTTCCTCATAGTTTCCCTGTAGTTTTTTGTTATTCTCTCTGAGCTCACTGAGCTCATTAAGCTTCCTTAGAACCATTGTCTGGAACTCAATATCTGATAGTTTACTTGCCTCTATTTCATTTAGTTCTCTTTCTGGGGATTCCTCCTTTCTTTCCCTTTGAGTGCGGGGTATTTTTTTGCTTTCTCATTATTTGTGAGACTCTTCCTTTTTGCTTCTGCTTCTTAAATTGATCTGTCTTGATTTCCTGACTTTGTGATGTGAAGTTCTATGGTAGGAGACCACTGTTTTTTCTTTCTGGATCTGCCTCTGATGATGTCAGATGCATTCCTGTCTGACCCTAGACACTCTGAGACCTCCAGGTATCTACTGTTTGCGGCTGTCTCCTTCAGCTGTTAATCTATTCACTCTGCACTCAGCTGGCTGCCTTAGACAACTCAGGGTGGGGCAGAGTCCCTCCTGGGGGCAGGGTTATTGGGTCCACTCAAAGTGTTGCCATATGGGGGAGGAGTCTGCACTGGGATTTCACTGGCTACTCTCTCCGTTCTCTGCCCAAAGCCTCCATCCCCAGTCTCCAAGTGTCTCCAGATGTCTCTGTGCCCCCTTTAGCCAGGGACCTACTGTCTGTGGCTGCCACTCTGCACTCAGCAGGCAGCTTAGACAGCACAGGGCAGGGTGGAATCCCACCTGGGGGTGGGGCTATTGGGTCCTTTGACCCTGGTGCCACTCAGGGGGAGTGGTCTCTAGGCCTGAGCAAGATGGCTGCTGCCTCATGGGGGATGAGTCAGCACAGAGATCGGACTGGATACTCTCTCAGTTCTCTCCCCAAAGCCTCTTTCCCAGTCTCTCCTCAGGCGTCTCTAGCCCACTCTGCCCCCACTTTTGCTGGAGACCAAGGTAAGTGGCTGCAAATAAAAATTTATGCGTTGGCCTTTTAAACAGTTCTTTGCGTCTCCAGCCACCTGTCTCTGGCAGTAGCAACCCTGCCGCCCCTTGCAGCTGCCGTTTTTCTGTACTTTTTGGGCTCTGGTGCTGTGGGGAAGAGGTCCCCACTCTCGGTTTAGACCCTGCTCTTCTCAGGGGGATCTAACTGGCCATATCAATATCCTCTGGTGCTTCCGCCCATGGGCACTCCGCCCACCTTCTCAGGTCTGTACTGCACTCCTTACCAGTAGATTGTGCTAAAGCCGATTCTTCTGTCTCCAAGGCTACAAGGCTCCTCTCTTACTATTGTTCAGTTGTTTGTTCCAGGTGATTTCTCCTCAATTTAGTTGTAATTCCAGGTTGGTCCTGGGAGGAGGTCAGTGTGACTTCCACTCACTCCTCCACCATCTTGATTCTCTAAGTAAAATTTTAAAAGTATGATGGGCACGTTCCACAATGGCCTGACCAGTGGGATTATAAGGAATACCTGTTTTATGTTGAATTCCCCACCTTTGCAGGAAATCCTGGGTGGATTGGGCCATATATCCCAGTCCATTATCAGTTTTAATTTGTTGTGGACGGCCTAAATGGCTGAAAACTTCAAGCCGGTGGGCCTGTATATTCTTGGCTGATTCACCTGTAAGGGTGGAGGCATGTACTGCCCCAGAGAAAGTATCAACATACACATGAATAAATTTAAACTCCCCCAAAATGGGTAATAGGTTACATCAGTTTGCCAAATTGCTTGTGGATGTAGGCCCCTGGGATTAACTCCAACAGAGGGCAACGGTTTACCTGAGGCCTGGCAATCTGGACATTCTTTAATAATTTGTTTAGCTTGAGAATAAGGGAGTTTAAACTCCTTGTGAAGTGCGTGGCTATTTTGATGAAAAGTGATGAGAGGCAACAGCCTTTTGGAAGGTATTCAGTACACTTACTAGAGCATCAGCTTGGGTGTTGCCTTCAGACATAGGACCGGGAAGACCTGCATGGGAACACATATGAGTGACAAACAGAATATGTTCCCTTTTATCTAATAAAGTTCGCAAGGGTAAAAATAAGCTGAGCAGAGAAAGGTCCATAGATTCCTTAAGGGAAGTTGATCTATATGAAGGAGAGTATATACAGTATAACCAGAGTTACAAACAAAATTCAAGGGCTCGTGGGGCCATTGCTGGAGAGCCATAATGGCTCCTGAGAGCTCAGCTCGTGGGGTGGACGCATGACCAGGGGAAACATGATGCTGCCATTCCTCACCCTCCTGCTGGGTGATGGCAGCTTTTCCTGTTTTTCCCAAACCATCAATAAAAACAGTCCTTGCTTTGGGGATAGGGGTTCACTAATTTTTTCTTTTAGGCGAATGGTAACAATTGGGATATTTTGCAATAATTTATCTGAGGGCAGACTAATTTCTATTTTGCATATAAAATCTGTAATAGCACATTGAAATTCTAGAGACTGACTGAATAGCTATTATAAGTAAATATGAGTAAGAGGGATGTGAATGACTGCTGGGTCATGGCTAAGAAGTTGCTGAGCTCTTTCACGTCCTTTAATGATAAGATGACATAAAGCTGTAATATATGGAGTAATGGTACGTTGAGGTGGATGGGAGAGAAACAGCCACTCTATCATGCCTAATTGAGGCAGCATTTGACCAATTAATCCTGTGGGGGTGCCCAGAGTTAGAAAACAAAACAACCTAACTGGGAATTTATAGTTTATTCTTGTGAGTTGTCTCTCACTGATATGTTGATTGATGAGGTCTAACTCTGAAGATCCTGGGGAGATAAGATTGTGAGGGGATTTAGATCAGAATCACCTTTTAAGGTGTTGAATAAATTAGTAAACTGGTAGGTAATAATTCCCAGGCTGGGCTGAATCCAGTTAATAACACCTAACAGTTGTTGGAGGCTATTAAGAGTTAACCATTTAGGTGGACTGATTTGTAATGTTTGAGGCCAAATTGTCCAGTGAAAAAGAACATGTCCTAGGTACTTCCAGGGCTCAGATTGCTGGACCTTTTCAGGGGCAATAATTAAGCCAGCATGGGAGACTGACTTTTTAAAGTAAGCGTAGGTTTTAGCCAGAGCTTCAGAGGATGGAGCAGCAATTAAAATGTCATCCATATAATGATATATTATTGAATTAGGGAACTTTTCTCAGACAGGTTGTAAAGTTTGGTGAATGAAATGCTGGCAAATAGTTGGGCTCTTTAACATGCCTTGAGGCAGAACTTTCCATTGGAATCTCTAATGGTTGAGAATTGTTAAGAACCTGAACAGAGAAAGCAAATAGCTCCCTGTCCTTTTCAGCTAGAGGAATTGTAAAAAAGCAGTCTTTTAAATCAGTGATTAAAAGCGGCCAATCCTTACGCAAGCTAGATTGGGAACTCTGGGTTGAAGAGTACCCATGGGTTTAAGTACCTCATTAATCTTTCTAAGATCATGTATAAGTCTCCATTTCCCTGATTTTTTGGGAACTACAAAAATTGGAGTATTCCATGGACTGTTAGAGGGCTCAATATGTCCTGCTTCTAATTGCTGTTGAACCAATTAATGGGTTTTTTCCAACCTCTCCCCTTTTAAGGGCAACTGATCAACACACACAGGCGAATCTGAAAGCCGTGTGAGGGGTAGGGGAGACATTTGAACAGTGGCCATTAGTGAAAAGGTGGAAGAGTGATTTTTATTCCCCACTGGGTAAGAAGGTCTCTCCCCCAAATACTAAGCGGGGCTGGAAGGACATAAGGCTGGATTCTCCCTATTTGTCTGTCAGGGCCATAGCACCTGAGGGACCAGACACTTTTGCGTGGTGAAGTGTGACCTCTTATGCCAGTTATGGATATGTTGGCCTCTGTTAGTGGCCAGTCTGGAGGCCAATACTGGCTATAAATTACAGAGACATCTGCACCTGTGTCTAGCAGACCATGCAAAACTCTGACTTTAATGGTCACTTCCAAAAGAGGTTTATTTAATTCAATGGAAGCAGTCCAGAAAATTGACTGGTTATCAGTGCTACCAAAGCGCCCCTTTCCTCTGTCAATATCTTGGGGATTTGGCACCATTCAGGGAAGAGGAAAAAGTTGGGCTATACAAGTCTGGGCAGGAATGACATGATATCCAGAGGCTCTAATCATAACTCTAATTTCTCCCCGATAATCAGAGTCAATTACTCCAGGCTGGACTAGGATTCCTTTGACAGTAAAACTAGATATTCCTAAAATTAATCCAACTGTGCCCTCAGGCAACGGTCCCCACACTCCTGTAGGAGCCAGGACAGTTTTGTCCTGTCCCTTTAAGATGAGTTCCTGAGTCGTGACCAAGTCCAATCCTGTGCTCCCCTTCGTGGAAGCGCAGAGGTTGGTGACTCTGCATATCCCTGGTTCCAGAGCCAACGGGTTGTGGTTGTCTGGAGAACTCCTGTTGGGGTTCGGGGCACCGGAGTACATGCCCCCCTGCCCGTTTCCCTGAAGAGGAAGTGTTTTACCATCCTTGTCATAACTAGATTTACATTGGTTAGCCCAATGTCTGCCTTTACGACAATGTGAGCAAACTTTATCGGGTGGTCCCCTTGAAATAACTTGCAAAGGGGCTTTGCAGTCCCTGCACACATGACCTGGCTTGCCACAGCTAAAATACTTAATTTCTCCTTTAATGGCAGCAGCCAATAGCAAGGCACAATGCTGCTCTGAGGCTATACCCTGGCAGGCCTTAATGAATTGACTGATATTAGTAGCTGTTGATCTTATGGGATTGAGAGCAGCTTTACAATCATTAACATTCTCATAGGCTAACTGTAATAGAAGGGTCTCAGCTGTTACCAGATTCTCAACTTGCTTCTGTATTGCTTCCTGTAATCTGTCAACAAAGTCTAAATAAGCTTCCCTGAACCCTTGTCGAATGTTAATAAAGGGGCCAGGTCCCTGGACTTTAGCTTCCAGGACCATTTTTAGGGCACGGGAAGCCGCCTGGGAGCCTTGAATAAAAACCTGGGGATCTATTTTAGCCTGCTCTTCAGGAGCTCCATACTGACCCATTCCAAGTAGCATATTAAGCTGCACTGGGCTGCCGTTCCTGGAGTTCTCTATGGCCTGTCTGCGACAGTGGACAGTAAACTCTGATTGTCATACAGAAAACTGAGCCGGGGTCATTACAGTCCTAGCCAGAGCAATCCAGTCACAGGGGGCCATTCGATAGCTATCAGTGATGGCAAAGATAGGCCCCAAAGTGTAGGGTGACTGAAGCCCATTGTCTTTGATGCTCTTCTTCAACTTTATACATTGCGAAAGGCAACAGCTCAGGGACAGGCTGTCTGCGTGCCTTAATGACAATTGGAGAAGCTAATAAAGCTTCCCAATCTCCTGCTTGTGTAGCCTCTTTAAGACAGGGCTGCACAGCAGTGGTGATCTCTTTAAAATGCCAGAGGAGGGTTGGCGGGAGAAGGAGGCAGAGATGATAAATCCTCCTGCACTTCTTCCTGAGGCGGGGCAGTAGGAGAGCTAAAAGGGGAATCTCCTATCTCCGTTTGTGGCAGCGGCTTCTTGTAATTAGATTCATTGCTCCTGCCTGCATTTGCTTTATGGACCCTTTCCATTGAGTCTGAGCTTTCCTGATTACTAAGATTTCCAGTATGATTTGGGACTAGAGCTGTTCTAAGTAGGCTCCAAGTTAATAAATTCTGACATCCTATAAGGATCCCATTTCGTTGAAGCCAATTCAATTTCTGTCCAAACTTTTCCCATACTTCCAAATCCAAAGAACCTCCTGAAAACCATGTACAGTATTTCTTTACTGTCTGCAACAAGTTAACTATATTTTTCTCTTTAACTTTGCATCCTGCAGCCTTAAGAAGATGCTGAAGCAGTTGAGAGTACATCTTCTGTTCCCTAGAAAGTTTTGAGCCCATTTTTGCAGCTGAGGGGCTGTTGTTTTTGTTTTCCGGCTCCGCTTTTTCTCAACTCCACTCCACTTTTTATGAAAAGCTTGTCCTGACTAAAACCTAGGGACTGAGAAAATGTGCTGCTGGTGCACAAGGGCTTTCAAGGGTGTCACTCCTTGTTTACCACCAACTTTACTTTACCGTGAGCAGAATTCCCTGTGAGGCCCCTGCACGTCTTAGGAAATAATCCCAGACCCTTCCGTGACAGCCTCCCTCACATGGAGACACCCGAGCGTGGAGCGCCGGAGCCTGGAGGAGGCGTGCCTCTCAAGTTTTCTTTGCTTTCTGGGTCAGAATTGTTCTGGCAAAAATTTTTATGACTTAAGAGTCACAGAGGCTGGAAGGAAAAACAAAAAAAGAAAGACAACATTGTAAATTTCAGACAACCATTGTACAGGGGAAGCCATAAAATAGCAAATGTGGATGGAGTGGTCAAAGAGCACGTCTCTGACTGTATGTGTCGGCGGCGCTGGAACTGGGGGGTGAGCTGTGCCCCCGCCAGGGGTGCTGTGCTACTTATCTGGTCTTACCTCATCTATGCTACTATCAGTGTCTTGGCAGAAAGTCAGAGTGAGGTGATGATTTGTAGTGTTTATTTGAGAATGATGTTCTTTCCTTGCTTTCTACAAATCAGACCTATGTTCCTTGATTAGTAACATGCTTATGTGAACTGACCTCTTTGAAATGAGCAGCTGAGTTACTCTTGCCATTTTGAGCAATTTTACTATCTGGTAGTCTCCTCAGTGGAGGGGCTACAGTAATTTCTCTTTCAGAACCAAGTGGAGTCCACAGAGGAGAAAGCTAGGCCTACATACAAAGCTGGAAATGCAGCTATAGTAGCTAATCCCAGCAGCAGTTTTCAGCTCAGGCTAGCATTTACTGACCTTCATGTTCTTCCCTATCTTTATCAGAATAATAGGACCTCCATCTTCAACTAGGAAATGATGGTAGGAAGGAAAAAAAGGGGCCCATTTTCCAGGGAGCCCAAAAAATGAAGAACTGCTCATTAAGCTCAACCTGCTCCTTCCTCCAGTCTGAAAAAGAGCAGTACAAAGGGAGATCAAGATGAAAACGCACCCAGGAATGAAAAGGAGGAGAGATGCTTCCTTCCCTGGCTCACTGCTTTCCCCTCTCAACTTTCCTCACTTCCTCCTCTAAGCCTCTCAAACTCTGGGAGTGTCCAAAAACTACAGGACACATGGCGCGTTTTCTGTGCCCTGTTTCAGGTTAGGAACTATCACCTAGTTCATCCCAATGCTGGGAAAATAAGTTTCTCCAGCCTGAGCCAGGTTTGGGGGTACCTGTAGAAGGTCCCAGTGTTATAGATGCCTGTGCTCTTAAGACCTTTATGGCCCCCCCCACCCCCTTGAGGATGAGATCTAGAAAAAATGTCCTTTCATTTTGTTTTATTTGTGTTTTTTTTTCCATCTTAGTCATAAGCTTAAGCTTATAACTAAGGCCTTTAGACTGACCCTGTTATTTTGAGCTCTGTAATCAGAATGTTAATATTTTTTCTAGAGACAGATTACTGCATTTGCTTCTGCCTTTGGGACCTGTGATTTTATTTAAAGATGAGATATTCTCATAGAGTCATGGGACAAAGGCTGGTAAAGACATATCCATGATTTGTGACAGGAGCAGCACTATGGTCTCTCACTGAATTTCCCTCCTGTGGCAAGTGTGGTACTTTAATATATAGATCTATGAATACAGGAGTCCAAAAGAACATCTGACATCATGTATTCCAAACTCTTCATCTCAGACCTAAGGAAACTGAAGTCAAAACAGAGAATGACCCTATTCCTCAGCTGTGGATTTAGATTTATTTTTAATTTATGGAGTTAGAACTATAACTCCCATCCTCATCTTAGTACTTGCTGTGTCCTCGGAAACCATGGGAACATTTTAAAGCATCTTGTGAAAGAAAATTCTTAATAGAAATTACTTAACCAACTTCACTTCTTGGGAGGGGCTCCTCTGACTTTCTTTTAATCACAGACTTACTAGGCTGTGTGCAGTTCCCAGCTTCCATTCCCAGTGGACTTTAAGTTCCACAGAGTCAGAGATAATGGTTTATGCCACCAACATCCAGCACAATGTCTGGCATATAAAATTGCACATAGATGCATTAAAAAAATGTTTTTTTTAGTTTGTTTTTTGAGGTTGAATTCTATTAAAGATGCACACATATACACATAAATCCATATAATACATAGAAGGTATAAAAACAATCAATTCCTTCTACCACCAGATAAACATATTTTTGTAAATGATATTGACAAGCTTCATAATGATATTGAAAATGATATTTTCAAGCTTTTCAAATGTAAATCCATCCCTGTACATTGAAATTTACTTTATTTCAAATAGGTAAAATAAGTAAACTCATAGTTTATATTGTTTCAAAATAAACGCATTATCTGCTCTTTAAACTTTATTTGCAACACGGAAATGCTGATATAATAGAATATTCTCTATTCTTTCCAAATCTCATCAAAATTGCTCTGAGTTCTGACCTATCCTGCTCCATTGTGGATGGGCTAACAATTCACGCTGAGTCATACCCTATCCATGTTGTGAAATTTCCAAGCTAGCAGTTACTTCTCCTTTATTCTTGGCCCTGGAAAACAATTGATTACTTAAGCTTTGAAATACAAAATACTACAGATCAAAAGTGAATAAATTTTCACAACTTGCAAGTAGATATGTGTTTGTGGTGGGTCTGTGTGTGTTTCTGTCTCTGCTTATGATGCTCAGAATACCAGAAACACTTGGCAAGATCTAAGACCAGAGAGTTACTTACCAGGATATGACAGGGCTTTCTTCCAATCTAAACAGAACAAATCTGGGTAAAACACTGTGAGACATTAATGGGGCCTCACATTCAACTCCCTCCCCCTTATTTTTCTTCCACTAATTATTATTAGATCTTTTGGTCTCTTCCTCTGAGGAGAGGGAGCTGAGAAAGTGTTAGGAATCAAGACTTCAGGTGGCTTGGGAAACCCAGAGTCTCTTACCTGCAGCATATAATTTCTTTCACCTTTCTGGAAGAAACAACATTCAGTGAGAGACTCAGAACAAGTTTGAAAAGGAGAACGAGTTTTACACAGGGCATGAGACGAAGCAAGGCTCACTGAGCTCTGTTGTGAGATTTGGGGAAAGAAGAGAAAATATAAACTCCATAAAATGGATTTTAGCTGCTGCTCCTGACTTTGGGATGTAGCTAAATGGATTCAATTTGGCCTTCCCTTAAGGACACCATAGTTAGGTAGGTGAGAAAGATTAGCAGACTTACAAATTAAATCTAAAATGACAAGAGCTAAGAAAAGTTGCCTGGAAAGTATCCTGGGGTTGCAGAGAAGGAGTATACATGCTTCATAGGAGTTTAAGATTTCTTAGGTGTTTCTGAAGCTTGTCCCTCAAGGGCAAATAGGAAGAGAAGGAAGTGGAAGACATTCCCCCAGGAGGAACAGCCGTTCAGGCTGGGGCACAGAGGCATGAAAGGACATGGCGTGGCGCTGAGGAGGCCTCATGACCACTCACACAGCTTCCCTGGCTTCCCCTGTGGTTTTCTCCTTTCCTAGGGCTCCCAGCTCTTTGGAATTCTTGGGGCCCTGTGTTTTCCTTGGGGTCCTTTGGCAACCTTTTATTATTTCACCCGCTCTATACAATGTATCCCCAGCTTTTTAAATAAACCTCTGATTTGCCCTGCTAACCCAAATTATCTTTGGCATTAAGTGCCATTTCTTTCTCATTCTTTGATCTCTTTCATGAGATTCTTTCTTCTTCTTCTCTACTTCTCTCTCTTTGGCTTGATGTTCTCTCCAGCCAGTGCAGCTGATCCCGATGGGGAGGAGCACCAGCACAGGGAGCGTCCCAGCCAGGGCTGCCTTCCACGGCGACATCTTGGGGAAGAAGGGGTCTGACACAGGCAGGTGCAGACACATCGAGGACAGACCTGGGGAAGCCCTTCCCTCTCCTAAGGCTCCCTGCAGCCTCCTGTCCTCCTCCCTGCCCTTATCACACTCGCAACTCTGCCTTGGGGTTTGTGCCTCACTGACCTGGGTGGAAGATGGTTGACACTTTCTCCTGCCCAGAGAGGGGATTCTGGATGGAGCAGATCACCTTCCTAGAGAACAGTCCATGACCACAAGCGATGCCTCCGTGTGGAAGAGCCCATCTCCATCTTGGGTCTGAGGCTCGGAAAGGGATGGGAGCTCCACTCCCCCCACATCACTCCACTGCAACCTGGGTTTTGGGAACCAGCCACCTGAGGAGCACAGCACTCGAATCCTGCCATCCTCAGGCCCCATCATGTGAGTGTGAGGGACAGAGCCCAAGCCTGAGGAGAGACAGTATGTGCCCGAGGCACGTGGTGTTTGGTGCTCAGGAGTCTCTGAGGTTGAAGGCCAAGCTGGCCTTCACTAGCCTGAGGAGTGACTTGAAGCTCAGAGGTTGAGAAACCACTCAAAGCCAGCGTTATGCTGACTTATGATTCAGTTTTGAAATCAACTGAAGGCCTGTGCATTGCACTTGGAGTACGAGAGCTTGAGGTCATTCCAAGAAGAGAAGGGAACAGGAAGATTAAAGTTAGAAAAAGGAGTTTAATTCTATTACTTGTCTTTCATTCTTGATGTGGTAAAACTAATGTTTGAGGGTGTCAGTACCTATTTGAATCAATACTAGTCAATTAATTCTCTGGGGACTTTTGGAATAATAAAATATCAGAAATACTGCCTTTGTTGGTATTTAAAAATGAATAGAGTATATAGTCTTATCCTCACAGTCCAGCTTAGAAAATTGACATTCTGTGAGATAAAATAACATGTCAACATATGGAAGATCACAAGAAATGCCAGGTTAGGAATACAGATGTCCTCACCTATAGTACCTGTGCTCTCCGTGCCAAGTTAACATAACTATAATCTATAGCTCCACAATGGCCTCCTGGGAGATGTGACCATTTTTAAAATGACAATGGTACTGGTCATTGTCATGGATATGGTGGATCAGCAGGGCCACGGCCCCCTTGCAGACGGAGTCTGCCACCAACTCTGTCCTGCCACGGTACTCCAGCATTTGCTCTCCACCTTGTTCCTGTCCGTTCTGGTACACAAGCACAGCGGGGGACAGCTGGGCTCAGTACCACCGTATGTGCATGTGGGCTGTACTCTGCTCAGGGGACAGCTGGCAGGGCAGAGTGGCATCTGCCCTTAGCAGGACCATGATAGGTTCAGGTGGTCCCTTCTCAGAAAACCCAGGAGCTGCATAAGAATCAGAGACAGATTAGAGGGAATGAGGGAAAGGGAATGAGATGAAATACCTATCAGCATATAGAGACCCATACATATTTGTTTCTTATTTATATTATTTTCCAAAAACTTAATATATATTTAAAAATTTATTTGTATGTAAAAATCTTACTTTTTGCATTGTATTCTCCTGAAGTAACAACTGCCGAGGTAGCAGCCAGGAATGAGTGGCCAGAGGGGAAGCAGCAGGGCCCCTGCCAGTGCAATCTAATGAAGAACTTAAAGCAAGAGGCTAGGAACAAAAGGGGGACATGTCTCACCTGTTGCCTCAGCAGGCTTGAGCCTGGTTTGATAAGATAGCCAGGCATTCCCAGAATCACAAGTGGAATGGTGATAGCACAGGAGGAGGGGAGCACTTGAAATTATGTGTGTACCGCTTCCATGGGAAAGAAACCCTCTGTGAGGCTTTCCCTGGCGGGGAAAGGAAGGCTTTGTTAACTACATATTAATCCCAAGGTCTGGAAGGGGGAGGAGGAGAAGAACATGGAGGATGGTTAAAGTATATAACCCTGAACCCCCATAGTCAGTGCACTCAGATTAGCTGAGTACCCACTACAAGTGGGTACTTGAGCCTCTGCTCAAGTGTATAGAATAAAGTTACTAAAAAACTTACTTATAACTTCATTTCCTCTATACATGGGGTGTTCAGACTAGCTGAGTGCCTGCCTGTATTTTCGTGCTCAAGTGTGTTTCACAAATAACTTTGCTATCTCATTTCCACTATACATGTTTATTTCTCGTCTGAATTCTTCCCTTGCAAGTAAGGCAAGAACTGAGGAGGGGAAGCCCCTGACTAGGGTCTCCCTGGTAACAATAAGACATTTTTTCTATGCATTATATGTAAACTATGTAAAACCTATGTAAAAGAGATTTATTGAGAATTAACTATGGCAGAGTAGCATATTAAGCATTTATCTTTCTCTGTGGTGAAGGGGGTTTTGGAAGGTACTTCTCCCTCCATTCATCCTGTTGCCTCTCAGCACTCTGTTCCTAAGAGGATAAGTAGATGTTTGTGACCTTGAATTCTAGGTTACCGCATGTTGGGGTGGAATGGAGGGAGGATTATACTGTATGGCTTTCCCAAGGTGAAAAGTAGAATTTGTAAGGTAAGATGGGCTGTTTTTTTGTTTTGTTTTGTTTCCATTTTTTAAATAACTGTGAAGGCTTGAAATCACAGAGAAATTATTTTCCTGAATGGATAAAGAAAATGTGATATATATATATATGACATTCTTCTTTATATATATAAAATAGAATATTACTCAGCCACAAAAAAAAGTGAAATCTTACCACTTGTAACAACATGGATGGATTTACAGGATATTATGCTAAATGAAATAAGTTCAGACAGATACCATGATTTCACCTATATGTGGAATCTAAAAATCAAAGTAAATAAAAATACAAATAGAAAAAGACTCCTAGACCCAGAGAACACACTGATAGTTGCCACAGGGGAGGTGTGTTGGAGGACTGGGTGAAGAAGGTGAAGAGATTAAGAAGTACAAGTTGGTAGTTACAATAGTCACAGGGATATAAAGTACAGCTTAGGGAATACAGTCAATAATATTCCAATAATTATGTATGATGTCAGATGGGTACTAGACTTACCAGGGGAAACACTTTATAAATTATATAATTGTCTAACCACTATGCAGTATATCAAACTAATATAATGTTGAATGTCAACTGTAATTGAAAAATTAAAAATATTTTAAATAAAAAATAATTTAAAACAAATTATTTTCCTGAGACAGGTACAAAACTTGAAGGCCAGTGGTTTCTGTTGTTAAGAGGCAGGCCAGCCCTTACCAGAGAGGAGAGTTGGGCCCTTCCCCCTGCCCCCGCATCCCCCACCCGACCTGGGGAAGGAAAAGAGGATGCCTGCCGACTAAAGTGGAAACTTCATCTTAATTATAAAATACGTATTCTTGTCACATTACTTACAGTCATCTGCTTGAAAATTATTTTGCCATAGAAATACATGATAACTAAAAAGTGACTGGTGCTCCTGGACAAAATTTGCATTCAGAAGCCCGAGATACTGTAGACCCTGTGAATGGTTAGGACTTAAAGGGCCTGCAAAGGGAGAACTTTGAGATGGGAAGAGTTCAGAAAGGCATATTCTGTGGTGCTTGGGAGGGCTGAGCAAAATGGTAAAGGCACATGAGCTTAGAGGGAGAAGCTCGAGGCCAGTCTGACCCCGGGAGTGAGGATCAGGCAGTCCTGGGCAAGGAGCATGGCACTGGCTACTAGGCTGGATGGAGGCCGTGGCCCCCCTTCCTCTCTGTTCCTGTGGACAGCCCAGGGTACTGGCGTCACTCAAAGGATATATGTTCTTTACTAATTGATGCAGGGCTGTTGGCCATACAAGTTATATGAGACATTTAATTTAGAAAAAGGTATTTGATACTACTTATAGCCACAATGAAGTGGAAAATATCATTGTGCCTCACACAAATGGGACCATTATATATCAATTTCTGCAGTAAGGCACATCCAATCATTTTATTAATAGTACATAGAGTACTAGAGTACTAGATGTTGACAGTGCCTACACTGTCAGGTTTAAACTTTCCTATGTTGGTGTATATTTACATTGTGTCCAAATGATTATTACAACAAACAACCCCACAATAAACATTTTATATATAATAAGTATACACATGGGAGAACTTTTCTCTAGGATAGATTCTTGTAGAGTCACCGAGTCAACATATACGGAAATTAAACATTTGATATTCACTACCTAATTGACCTTAAATTAAAGAGATAAAAAATATCATTATTATAATCTCATAGCTGGTTTATCTTTAAACCTGGTGTCTAAAAACTTTATCCTTAAGGCCCTTTTATTTTAAAATGGAAAAACCATTGTCCCAGAAATAGTAAATAATTATTCCAAGATTATAACCAGATAGAGCTCAGGGATCTTGAATCCAAATGCTTTGTACTCAGACTTGGGTTTTTTTTGGCAGTGTGAACATTATAAAGTACATTTTACAAATATTTACATCAAAATTAGACAGCCTAAAATCATGCATACTCAATAAAAATGTATTTCATTGATAAATATTAGAGCTATGAGCTTTATGAGGTCAACTCAAAGGAGTAAGAGGCATGAATATGAAGGAGATCACTCCATTCCTGGCCCAACCCTTCAAGCCTTCTGCTGGGAGCAGACACAGCCACAGTGTCCCCAGGATGTGAATGCCTTTAGGAGAGGGTAGAGTTCTGGCAGCTGGATAGCCTGTTTTGTCATTATATAAGAAGAGCCACTGAAAATAAACCAATAGATAAAAAGCATAAGGGAGAACACTGACCTGCTGAGCACCAGGTGGGTACCTGGAGAAGGAGGAGAGGGAGGAGAAAGCCAGCAGAACAGGAAACCCCACCATCTTCTTCAGAGCAAGAAGCGGAGCTCGCTGGAAGCACAGCACCTTCACTCATCAGGATACTTCTGTGGGAGAAGGAGAGAAAAGGGCAGAGTGAAAGGGCTTAGAAAAAAATCCCCTGTTCAAATGCTTACTTTTGTACACAGGTTTTTGACTTGTTTTCCCTCACAGACCTTAAGATAAACACTCCCAACTCCCACCCATCCCCCAGTGGGTTTCCCCTCCCTGTCTTTTTTCTGAAAACCAACTGTCTCCCCAGCAGGTGTAGACAACTGTAAACCGTTCTCTTGTGTCCTGTGAGCTCTCGTGTGTATCTGGGGATGCTCTCTCTCACCAGGGCTCTCTTGAAATAGAAAACTCTGAGTTCAAAGTTAAGAAATTAAATAAGACATTAAATTAGTCCACTCCTCTCAGCAAATCTATCTTCCTCTTGCACTCATTCATTCTTTCATTCATTCATTGATGCGTTATTTATTTCTTTTGACCACAAATAGCTCCTGTGGCTTGACTCCCAATAAGGAAGGTAGTTTTCTCACCATGTAACTCAGAGACTGAGCCTTTCCTTTTTCAGGACCCACGTGTCCCAAAGACACACCTGCATGTCACCACACATTTCTTTCTCACCATCTATATTGAGCCACGGGGTGTTCCTTGAAGCTTCCGGTCTCCTCATTGCGCCTTCAATGCTTGGCTCTAGAGACAGCTTGTACCTAGTTATCTTTGTGGTCAGTACCTGAGGGTGTTGCTTCAGGGGCTGGGAGCAGCAAGTTTCTAACCCATTCCTGGATTGGGAAAATACTCTTAGAAGCAGGAACAAACAGGGCTTCTAGGAAGAACTGGCATTTGAATGTCTCTCCTAGAATGTGTCTGATGAGAAAGGCACAGCCTGCCTGTAGCTCTTCTAGTTACTTTGAAAGTGGAGGTAATAAAGGCCACCCTAATGACCTTTGGACTGTGCTGAGCTATAGAACAATAGGAACTCTAAGGTAGCTTTGGTGGAAATGCTCAGTGTAGCTTCCTGCTCCTGACTGCAAAGGGCTGAAATCACATCATTCAGAGAGAGGAGCTCCTCTCGTATGATATTCAGAGGTGTTGGTCATCCCGGTGTTTCATTCATAAATGTAACTGATTTAGAGAATAGAACGAACAAGAGCATGCTTCCTCCCACCATACCCTAAATGACATTAGAAGCCATGAGCAGAACTATGCCGGGGGAATTCAGAGGTCAGAAATGGAAGGCTCTGTATTCCAAGACCCAAGGACCATATTTCCAAGAGCCCAGGGGCTCCCAATAGCAGAATAGAAACAATAACACAATTGTATAGATATAGAATGTACTCTAACAGTATTCTCTTTCCATTTCACATACTTTCCAAGTTCAATTCATGATTCTTCATGTCACACAAAGTTTACAGATAATCAGGGACACAAATAGCAATTGCATAAATATTGGTATGGGAGCCACTAACCATCGGGCCAAAGGGATATCAAACTCCTAATGTCTCTAGAGAGAGTGAGGTGCAGTCAACTTTTAAGAAATTCAATGTACTGAGATATAATTTACATACAATGGAAGTATGGTTTTTAAATGTATATTTCAATGAGGTTTCTCAACTGCTTATACTCATGTAACCACCACCTGGATCAAAATATGGAACATTTTCATCTCTTGAAAATTTTCGCCATGTCAATTTTTAGGATAATCCAGGAAAAGCAAACAGTATCTGATGTAAACCATGATAGCTTAGTCTTGCCTATTCTAAAATTTCAAAACAACAAAAAAGGAATCACATGAAATATATGTTTTTGTGTTGGCCTCTTGAGTTAAACAAAATGTTTCTTGAGATTCAACCATCCTATGTTTATCGGTCCTTTTATATTCTTATTGCTGCATGATATTGTATTGTTCGACTACACGGAAATACGTTCTTCCACAGCTCTCCCCAGCCCTGCCTCCCCAGCCCTGTCTCCCCCCTCGGTCCACTGAAGCCCTTTCACGTCATGCAGTGCAGCCCCTCCAGTCTCGCCTGAGCTCTGACTCCCACCTACTCGTTTAGGTCTGAAATATTGGGCGATGGGAAGGGAACACAAAGGGGAAGAGAGAAGAGTTGAAAACACTATTTTCTCTTTTGTTTAATTTGAAATTTATGATATATGTTTGTGTGTGTCCTCTATTCTTTTTTTTGTTTGTTTTTCTTTTCTTTATTTTTAAATTTTATTTTAATTTATTTTTTCAAATACATTTGTCTCTGCCTCCCCCCCACCACTTTCCCTTGCCCCCTCCCTCCTTCCCTCCCTCAACTCTTCCCCTTTGGTTTTGTCCATGAGTCCTTGCTATATGTTCCTTGACTTTCCCCTTCCCTTCCCTTTCCCTGCCCCCCACTTCCCTCTTGTCTCTGTTTGTTTCTTTTCCTTTCAGTCTTGCTGGTCTTATTTTCCTTGCATCTTTGTATTGTTGGTTAGGTTCCACTTATAGGTGAGATCATATGGTATTTGTCTTTTGCCCCCTGGCTTGTTTTGCTTAGCATAATGCTCTCCAGCTCCATCCATGCTGTCATGAAGTTTAGTAGTTCTTTTTTTCTTTCTGCTGCGTAGTATTCCATTGTGTAACTGTACCATAGCTTTTTGATCCAATCATCTACTGATGGGCATTTAGGTTGCTTCCAACACTTGGCTATTGTAAATTGTGCTGCTATGAACATTGGGGTGCATAGGTTCTTTTGTATTGGCGTTTTGGTGTTCTTAGGGTATAGTCCCAGCAGGGGAATCACTGGATCAAAAGGCAGTTCCATTTTCAGCTTTTTGAGGAAATTCCACACTGCTTTCCACAGTGGCTGCACCGGTCTGCATTCCCACCAACAGTGGACTAGGGTTCCCTTTTCTCCACAGCCTCGCCAGCACCTGTTGTTTGTGGATCTGTTTATGATGGCCATTCTGACTGGTGTGAGGTGGTACCTCATGGTGGTTTTGATCTGCATTTCTCTGATGGCTAGTGATGCTGAGCATCCTTTCAAATGCCTCTGGGCCCTCTGTATCTCCTCCTTGGAAAAGCGTCTGCTCAGGTCCTTTGCCCATTTTTTGATTGGATCGTTTGTTTTCTTGGAGTGGAGTCCAGTGAGTTCTTTATATATCTTGGAGATCAAACCTCTATCTGATGTATCATTAGCAAATATATTTTCCCATACGGTTGGCTCCCTTTTCATTTTGCTGATGTTTTCTTTAGCCGTGCAGAAGCTTCTTATTTTGATGAGGTCCCACTTGTTTATTCTTTCCTTTATGTCCCTTGCTTTAGGAGACATATCAGTGAAAAAATTGCTGCGTGGGATATCTGAGAGTTTCCTGCCAATGTTCTCCTCGAGGACTTTGATGGTGTTGCGACTTATATTTAAGTCTTTTATCCATCTTGAGTTTATTTTTGTGTATGGTGTCAGCTGATGATCCAATTTCAATTTTTTGCATGTAGCCGTCCAGCTCTCCCAACACCATTTGTTGAAGAGGCTGTTACTGCTCCATTTTATGCTTCTGCCCCCTTTGTCGAATATTAGATGTCCATAGAGACCTGGGCTTATTTCTGGGCTTTCTATTCTGTTCCACTGGTCTATGGGTCTGTTCTTGTGCCAGTACCAGATTGTTTTGAGTATGGTGGCTTTGTAGTAGAGTTTGATGTCCGGTATTGTGATCCCTCCTACTTTGTGTTTCTTTCTTAAAATTGCTGCGGCTATTTGGGGTCGTTTATGGTTCCATATAAATTTTTGAAATGTCTGTTCTATTTCTGTGAAATACGTCATTGGTATCTTAATAGGGATTGCATTGAATCTATAAATTGCTTTGGGTAGTATGGACATTTTGAGGATATTAATTCTTCCAATCCATGAGCACGGTATATGCTTCCATTTATTTGTGTCTTCCTTAATTTCTTTTTTCAATGTTGTATAGTTTTCTGCATATAGATCTTTTGTGTCTTTGGTTAAATTTATCCCTAGGTACTTTCTCTTTTTTCGTGCTATATCGAATGGAATATTTTTTCTGATTTCTTCTTCTTCTATTGCATTGCTGGTGTACAAAAATGCCTTTGATTTCTGAATGTTGACTTTGTATTCCCGCTGTTTTGCCAAATTCACTTATTAGGTTGAGGAGTTTTTTGGTAGAGTCTACAGGGTTCTCTATGTACACTATCATGTCATCTGCAAACAATGATAGTTTTACTTCCTCCTTTCCTATTTGGATGCCTTTTATCTCTTTCTCTTGTCTGACCGCTGTGGCTAGGACTTCCAATACGATGTTGAAAAGAGGCGCTGAGAGCGGACATCCTTGTCGTGTTCCCGATCTTAGTGGGAAAGCTTTCGGTTTTTGCCCGTTGAGTATGATATTAGCTGTAGGTTTTTCATATATGGCCTTTATTACGTTGAGGAATGCCCCATTTATTCCCATTTTGCTGAGTGTTTTGATCATAAATGGGTGCTGTACCTTGTCAAATGCTTTTTCTGCATCTATCGAGATGATCATGTGGTTTTTTTCTTTTCTTTGATTTATGTGGTGTATCATGTTTACTGATTTGCGTATATTGAACCATCCCTGCATCCCTGGGATGAATCCCTCTTGATCGTGATGGATAATCTTTTGAATGTATTGCTGGATGCGGTTTGCCAATATTTTGTTGAGGATTTTAGCATCTATGTTCATCAGCGAAATTGGCCTGTAGTTTTCTTTCTTTGTAGGGTCTTTATCTGGTTTTGGGATCAGGGTGATGCTGGCCTCATAGAAGGAGTCTGGCAGTCTTCCCTCCTCTTGGATTTTTTGGAATAGTCTGAGAAGGACAGGGGTTAGCTCTTCCTTAAATGTTTTGTAAAATTCTCCTGGGAAACCGTCTGGCCCTGGGCTTTTGTGTGCCGGGAGTTTCTTGATGACTGCTTCAATTTCCCCAACTGTTTTCGGTCTGTTCAAGCTTTCTGTTTCTTCCTCCTTCAGTGTTGGAAGATTATACTTTTCTAAAAATTTGTCCATTTCATCAAGATTTTCAAATTTCTTGGCATATAATTGTTCATAATAGTTTCTGATGATCATTTGTATTTCTGTGGTATCAGTTGTTATTTCTCCTCTTTCATTTCTGATATTATTAATTTGGGTCCTCTCCCTTTTTGTCTTGATGAGTCTGCTTAATGACTTGTCAATTTTATTTATCTTCTCAAAGAACCAGCTTCTGGATTGGTTGATCCTCTGAATTGTTCTTTTTGTTCTATGTCATTCAGTTCTGCTCTAATCTTGACTATTTCCTTCCTTCTACTTGCTCTGGGATTTGTTGTTGTTTCTCCAGTTCTTGAAGTTGTAGTGTTAGGTCTTTTATTTGAAATGTTTCTGTCTTTTTAAGGTAAGCCTGTATTGCTATGAACTTCCCTCTCAGGACCGCCTTTGCTGTGTCCCATAGGTTTTGGACAGTTGTCTGTTCATTTTCATTTGTTTCCAGAAATTTTTTGATTTCTTCTCTTATCTCATTATTGACCCATTCATTGTTTAATAGTGTACTGTTCAGTCTCCATGAGTTTGCAAATTTTTGAAGTCTCTCTTTGAGGTTGATTTCGAGTTTCAAGGCCTTGTGGTCTGAGAAAAACTTTGGTATTATTTCAATTTTCCTGAATTTGCTGAGGCTTGCTTTGTGTCCTATCATGTGGTCTA